AATCTAAATTATTTAAAATATCTTTATTCGAAGCCATAAGCATAAAAACTATATAATATAGTCGTTGTTATGCGGTGTAGAGGAAACGCGAGCGAACGACGTACGACGACATCGCGGCTCTCGCCGCGGTCGTATAATAATAATTATATATTATACCTAAGTAATTCGCGTACCTCTCTCTATACATAATAATTTTTGTGCAGGTACCGCCGGCGAACCGTTGAAATCGTTCGCGATTCGTTTCACCCCCGCCGGCCGTGGTAATCGGGTAGGTATATTATTAATATTATTAATTCTGCGCGATTAGACGCGTCGGACACCGAAGAGTCTACCGATTCACGATCATCTATATACACTGCGTACTTACGCTTCGAACGATATTATCGAACGTGCAGCAGCATTATAATACATATTATAATGATATACCTACATAAACCTACGTATTATATTAATCACGTCGATACGATTGATGTATTGGCTGCACGCCTGCGTCAGACAGTTGCACGATTATTACTACCTATAGTGTAATCTCCGTACTTGTTATTCGAGTAAAAAAAAAAAAAAAAAAAGAATAACAATATAATGATCGTAATTATTGAAAACCGTGTATGTATTATTATACTTACCTACTCAATAATGATACGTTTTACGGGAGAAAAACGTCCGCCGATCGCCCGACGCTAAAATAATACACGTGCTTCTGTCGATAAAAACGGGTTTTTTACAACTGGTTGTTGTATAAGGTATATTGCACTGGGCAACGCACAACAAAAGCTCCATTGTTGCTGAATCGACTGCATGTGTTATTATTCGTATTCGCAAACCTATATTGTATAATTATTACACTGTAATTGTATATTATGACGTATGAGAATATATAATAGGTATAATAATATATGATTTTTTTTCCGCGGTTAGCTGCTTAAAATTAAAAAAAAAAAAAAAAGAAAAAAAGATGAACAGCCAGCATAAGGTGCGTTTCAACAACGTTATTACTACAGACGTGCACATTTAAAAATTTCGCACGAATATTCGTATTAATATAGGCAAAAAAGTTATGCGGTTCACAAAAGAATACTAATGCGAAACCCATTCATATTCATTCATTAAAAAAAAACCCATTATAAATATAAATATAACATATTATTTCTACCTCTGTGTTCTTATAATTTATGTAAACTATAAACCTATATATGCATTGTTGCAATGTATATAAAATTAACGCGTTTAGCGGATTATTATACTTACATTTTATTTCGCTATCTTAGAATAAAACGATTTTTTTTTATTTCATATTATTACCTATATACAGGTACCTCGCAGAACCTGTTCAAACATATTATAATATTTCATTTTTTCGTTGTATGAAAATATATGCACAGAGAAAACGATTGCATGCAGTGAATACACGATTATTATAATTGTTTTGTTACGTTTTACCCACATTTTTAATTTTGATATTCATTCGACGTGGTACCGATACAAGCACGCGGCTAGGAGGTTACCATAACCCGCGGGATACGCCGTTTTCCCGAGTGTCGGAAACTCGAAAAGAGCCGAAAAAATTCACTTCTCCGTGTTCAACTCGCCTACTACACGGTTTTTGGTTATTTTGGACTCGCTAATAAACGTCGTTATTATACCGGCTGATGCTTGTATTAAAATTGTAGGTACCGATAATATTAAATACGAGTATCTATAATGTGCGTCGCGATGACGGTGCGCGCAATGGTATTGCTGCACAGGCGTCGTTGCAGGCGTAGACGTTATATTATTATTATTATTTTTGTTATTAGATTATTGTAACTGTTATTACCGGTACGCGACAAATTTTATTGAATTATATTTTTCCGCATTGAAAAATAAATAATCGTTACAGAAATATCCGTGATTTTATATTGTTGTTTTATTATACCTAGGTATACTAAATTAATAGCGGGCGGGAAACGGATCGTCGACGATCGTAAAACCGCGCGGGGTGGGGAATGTAATGCAGTCAATGGCGGCCGTCCTGTACCAGCCCAATTTCGTACGCGACGGCGGCCATCGTAAAACAATACGCCGTAGTAGCCGCGTAGTAACAATAATAATAACATTAATGACGACGACGATGATTTTGTACGCACATTAAATACGAAAGTCGCGAGATGCTTGTCACTCGAACGTTCACATCTCAATCACGGGGCCGAGTAATGGATATGCATCCTACCGATAATATACACTAGTTCAGCGTTCGTTCTATCACAGAAGATACAGAAGGTACCTGCAGTAACAATAATATAAATTATTCGATTTTTTTTTGATTTTTTATATAACCCTTTGACGCGCGTGTCGTCTGACACTACGACGTGCAGTGCGGGCACCTCTTTATTCGTCATTTGCTTCTATATATTGTTCCGAAACCTTTTATAAATATATATATATATATATATATATACAATAACGATAACTCGATCGCCCTTATAACATTATTATTGGGGCTAGAATTTATATATGCATATAAATAATTTTACAATAGGTATGCATTTGGTTTATTAAAAAATATGCTAAAAAATGAGATTTATATACCTACGCCAAAAAATATGAAATATATACTCAAAAACGAATGAATAAATAAATAAATAATACGTTTTAAAATGAATAAAATATTATTGGTGACTGTTCACGCTATTCAAATGTATTAAACGAAACAATTATATGGTTATTTAAATTTTCAAAACAGGACGATCTTCTGTTAGACTTTACTATGTTCTTATGTATAGGTATTTTTGAACAATGTCAATGCATAGTGCATATACCGTCACACGACAAAAACGTGTAGTAACGAAATATCCCATGAAATATGCATTTTCATAGTCAAAATATGCAATAATATTATTTTTTCTCAAAATATGCAAAAATATGCAAAATAAAAACACCTCATCGCTGATAAAAGTAATAATCAAAAGTAGCAAAAAAAACTTACTGTTGCATATAAATCTTAACCCTAATTATTATATACCTATATATCTACGCTTAAAATATCCGTGCATCGATTTGACATGCGTTCTACATTATGTGTGTGTATATAATATATATATAGATATATTAATTATATTTAACAAAACGGTGTTAAAGTCCGTGTAATTAAAATACACGTGTACACGTGTATTTAGAGTCCATGTACCCGTGTACCCGTGTATTATAGAATCCGTGTGCTCGTAGCCCGTGTTTTTAATGTCCATCTACCCTGATCCAATAAAGATCCAAAAGGGGGAGCCCAAAAGTTCGTGCCTACATTACCCCCCCCCTAATGTTATCATACAAATATTTAAGTTAGACATTTATAAAAATATACCATTTTTTTTAAAGTAAAAAATTTGAAGATTATTTTCTTTTTTTACGAACCTGAAAATTGTTATACATACATATTTAAAAAAAAAAATAAAAACATATATGGGATTATCTTAAGACATTTTGTATAATATATTATGATTATAGGAACACCGTATATAATATGATAATTATGATAATTATAATATTATATTTAACATTTTATACTTAATAGTTTATACAAACATATTATTATAATTTTTAACATACGAGTATAATACGACAAAACAATAACAATATTCTTTTTAATTATAACAAAATATGAACAATGAAAATTTTCTTCAAATGTAAATTACAAAACAATAACAAAAATAATTTTTTAAACTATAAACACAATAGTTGAGAATAAATTTCAGAGGTTTTTTTATGTGTAAATTATAAATAATTAATTATAAATTTATAAAGAAAAAAGTCACAAGAATAACTGTCAAAAAAAATACCTACCTATTATATTGAAAGTGTTATAACATAAGTTGACGATTTTGATATAAAAATATTAACATATTGACATTTTCTGGTGCCAAACTGTTTCTTTTGGGCGTAACCACATTCCCGGCAGTTGAAAAACATCTTTCTGAGCTTACCGATGTGGCTGGTATTGACAAAAATTTCTTTGCTGCCATTGCTACCAGAGGATATTTTTTTTCATGTGACTTCCACCATTCAAATGGATCAAAATCGTATCTCAGTTGTGGTTCTGCAAGGTAACATTGAAATTGCGTCGAAACATCGTTGACTTCATGAACTTCATCGCCGTATAAATATTCAAGTGCTCCTTTCTTTTTTTGGATAGGAACTTCATTATCCACTCTATTTTCCGAAGTATTCGTTTCGACCAGTAAATTTTGTACTTTGCAACGGATATTTTCTCTTACTTCGATTTCCTCATGTTCCAAATCTTTATATCTTGGGTCTAAAAATGATGCTACTTGTCTTGAAGATATGATGTTTGTTAAATTATTAAGCTTAAAACGTTCTATTAGTTGTGACACCACTGTCTGTTTAAAACTGACAACAACTTCACTATCATATGTATTAATTTTCAAATGTTTTTCTATCACTTTTGAAATAAGAGGTCTAACCATTGATCCCGGTGAATGTGTTTCGCCACAAAAAACTGTTGTTACAACTTGTAATGGTTTTAACAAAGCTACTACAGTTTCCATTTTTGTCCAGTCACATTCTGAAATATCCAACTTTTTTGCAATTGCAACATTAGTTATACTGCGGTCAGCTAAGACGTTTGTTACAGCGCATCTATTTGTATAAAGACGATCTAACATCATATAAACAGAATCCCATCTTGTTTTACAACTTTGTATGAGACTTAGTTGGTTTAATCCCAGCTGCTCTTGCATTTTTGTTAAAGCATGTTTAGCCAAATTAGAATGTTTAAAATGACCTACCACTTTACTACTTAACTGAATAAGTGTATCAATGCCATCTTGTTGTAATCCATTATTGACCGCGAGTTGAATACTATGAGCAGCGCAGGTTAAATCATATGTTTCGGATACATTCGTCAGTGAATTTACAGCATTTATTATATTTCTTGCGTTATCTGTAACGACAGCCATAATTTTTGTTTCAATTTCCCATTTATCAAATGTATTTTTTAATTGGTGAGCAAGGTTTACGGCACTATGAGATTCCTCCATTTCATGTGTAGTAAGTGTATACGACTTTGGGCACCATTGATTATCAATTATATGAGCACTAACTGTAATATAGCTTTGTTGAGATATCGATGACCAACAGTCAGATGTACAAGCTATACTTATAGAATCTCTCAAGTTTTTTTGAATTATTTCTTTTACTGATGATTTTAATGCTTTCAATCTTGATTTTATTGCTCCTTCCTTGCAAATTTTGTAGTTAGGTTCGACAACTGTCATAAACTGTTTAAATCCTTCACTTGAACAAAAAGATAGGGGCATTTGATTCAAGGCTATCATTTTTGCTAATGCTTGATGTATCTGCTCTGTTTTATCGGAGTTGCAAATTCGATCGTCTTCCTGATTCTTATAAGTTCGTCGTCGTTTTCTAGGTATTGGTGCACCAATTTCCGAACTTTGTACTTCTGAAGAACTTGAAGTCATAGTTGAACTGGCTAAGGTATCGGCATTATCCAGCTCACGACCAGAAGCAACCCTTTATTATTGAAAAATATAAAAAAGTACCTATTTTTAATTTGTCCACACCTTGTTTTGTTAAAGTTTATATCACATTTTTAATATTTGACATAAAGTTTAGAAATATTAATAGAGTAAAAACTCGATTATTTAAACTAATTAGGACCACACAGAGTTAGGGTTGGTGCAGAAAGTTCAAATAATAACAATTGTTTAATAAATATTATGCATGACCACCGGACCAGTAAATAAACTAGGCCCTTTTACTGATTACGAATATAAGATTATTATTAAATATTGTACACTTAATGATTTATTTAATTTTTTTAACGATTTTATATTCGTTTTCGATTTTTTTGATACGAAGTTTTCGTACAAATCGTTTTTAGTATCAGTCGTAAATACAAAAGTAATGGTATAACGAACAAGAAATTTTCAAAAAACGTTAACATGACTAATGTACAGACTTGACGAAAGTTTCAAACAAATTTAACTATTTTCAAGCTAAAAGTAGAACTTCCAAAATGTTAGAAATTCCATGTTTTCTCAAAGTTATTTTCGAAATAAATTTTAAATTTTCAGTAGAAACTTTTAAAAATTTAATATAATCTTACACATATGAATAAATTTGTATTATAATTTGTACTTATTTCTATTAGTATTAGAATAACAATCTATTAGTTCTAATCGTTCTTCAGATTTATTTTTATACGCGTTTAAACATTAATTTTACCGGACACTGTTATTTTCACGAAAAATGGAGATTTTTTCTAATTAAAACCCTATACAATTTTAAATTCTTTAAATGGTTTATATGTTAATATGTATATTAATTATTAAGTACATAGTACATACCTTCGTGTTACAGTGGTGAGTGGTTTTATACCATGTATAGTTTTCAAATGTCTACCCAAAGATCCTGTTGTTCCACCAATACAACAAAATTCATTATTTTCATTTTCCGTACACAAATCACAATAAGCTTTATCGCCTTGACGTTTAGCGTACAGCCACACCCAACTTTTACATTTATTACTCATTTTATAAATTAATGAAACAATTACAATAAATACATACGCGAACAAAAATTTCATATAATTTTGTACAACAGACAAATGAAATAAAAGTCACTCAAAATAATGTGCAATTTATATTTTATACGACGCGTACGTTACATAGGTACGGTACGGTTTTACTACGATTAAACAACGGCCGATTGCCCGTCGTCGAGGGCCGCTGCATCAGACGTATCTTATCTGACATTACATTATATTACACTATACAGATAATCTTACAATATTTCCAAATTATAAATACAAAATATTATTTATTTTAAGTTACTATTGGACCTTAAACACACGGGTAATTTTAATACACGGGTAGATACAATTTTAATACACGTGTATCTTAATACACGTGTACACGAACTTCAAAAACACGTGTAATTAAATACACGGGTATTCATACATTTTATTATTTAAGGTACGGACTACGTGTACACGTGTATATCAATACACGTACCAGACCGAGAGCCCTATACTATGATCGTAATACCACCTGCTAAATTCAATTCTTAATGATTTAATTAAATGTCTATAATTATTAAAATAAAGTTAGTTTATAATATTACTAGTAAATAAATTTTTAATCCCCAAAATTAATTTCTTATATATAGGGTATGATTTTTATCGTGAACCAGTTATCCGGGAAGTATACAGAATTTTAAAATAATTTTTAACTCTAGGTTTTACTTTTTACACCGTGTTACAATTTTGATAATTTTAACTTACTCTTATTTCTGATAAAACACTATCAACTTTTGATTTTCAAATAGCAACACCTATTTCGTTAACAAAATCTATAGACATACTGAAAAATAAATTTAACGCTTATAGAATTAATTTGAGTAACCCGTTTAACGACTTATTAATGTTTCACGTCTGCTAATTTACTGCTACTGGGCACCATAAACCCAAATAGTAAACCAGAAGTCAAAACGAAATTTTTATTTCAATTTAACACAGTCATTAGGGTCATAATTGATAATAACAAGATAGATAAACAATACTATTGATAAAAGTATATCCTATCTTCACTCCCACCAGAACACCGAGTGTCAGTGAAATGAACGACTAGCCTGCAGAGCAGCTTATCAGCTATATGGTAAAGTATAAAATAACATTTTTACAAATTTCCACTTAAATCCATCATGGCTGTCAATATAGGTAGCGAAGGTATATTCGTAGATAAATTAACTAGAGCGTATCATAAAGTCAATTTCAGTAATTTTACTTAATTACTTTAATTGTTTGATGTACATAGAGTAGCATTAGAATCTATGTAGTTTTGGGATTTTAAGTCCTTTTGATAAGTTTTATAAAGCTCAAAAGTCATTATTGAGAAAAGTTAGGTACTTTGTGATATGATATTTAATTTCCGTGATAGCGGTTAGGTAATTGTGAGTACAATAAGCCAATTTAAATTTTCTTATTAATTAAGTATAACATCTGATATAATAAAACAAAAATATCAACACTTTGTTTTGAATTCATAACTATCCAACAGACTTTAAGTTCATAAAATATAAATATAGTCAGGCTTATAAGTTAACAAAATTATAGCAAACTTTCATTACTTTAAATTTATATATAAACAAAATATAATTTTAACATAGTAGCTTAGAAAATAAAATAACAGACCTATAAAAACTCTTAATATAATAACTATAATATTAACTAGGTTTC